CGGGTGTTTCGAGATTTTTCGAAGAAATTTCGGATCGACTCGCTTTGAATCGGCGATTAATTTCAAGCTTCCGCTCGAAATTCCGCGCGACTATTCGGCCGATTTACGTGTTTCCATCTCGGGGCGACGCGCGCCACGATGGCGGCATAAATAGAGCGTTACTTTCGCAATTTGAAACGGCAGCCTCCATAATTAGAATAATATTGCCGCACGCGAGACTCGTAATTTCCGTAACGCGGCGCAGTCGAGCGGCGGCGTAGTCGGTAAATGACATAATTATCGCTGAATGAGCGCGCGTATCGCGCCGACCCCGCCGGCGTGCCGAGCGAAATTACTTCGTAACACCTAGTTTTCCGCTCGGAAGTCCCTCCGCATCCGGCTGGCGCAGCTCGCGACGAGGAAAATAATCCGACACGGAGCACGGGCCCGACCCGTTCCGTTCCGTTCCGTTCGTGGCGTATCGTCTCGGCTTCGTCGACAAGGACATCCAGGAGGCCATTAGAAGGGCCGACGATGCCGATGCTTCGCGCGGAAAAGTCAACGAACCGTTCGAAGGCTCTTGAACATCTGGATGAAATTAACTCGACCGGGTCTTCCGCAGACAGACTGTCTGCCGCAGCTTCTCGCCTCCTGCGATATTTTTCTCAGCGAACAACCTCAGGCTTCACTGACAGACCGACGGATCGAGGATTAAGCGTCCCATTACGTCTGCAAATCTACTGTTCCCCGATTACGAACGAGCGATTTAAAAAAAAGACGGGTGGTAGGGGGTGAAACGTAGGCGAATTCCACGTCATGGGAACGGGAGAGAGAGAAGAAGAGGGGAAATAATGGAAGGAAAAGGTGGTAAAATTTATCCCGCGGATGCGGAAAAAATGTCTTGCTCGGTTCCCCGATCAAAGACAATCGAGCACGCTGGAAGGCTACGTTGGGAATGGCAGACAATGGCTGGCGCGACGGACAAAAAGCGTAAGCTACGCGCGGAACCGGTGAAAAGCGTGGAATTCGTCGCTGTGGATTTATAGGTAATTATTTTTCTCGAACGTGTCCGCGCGGCGCGTCCTATAGGGACGCGGGGTGGAATAGGTGGTGGAGACGACGATGGAAGTTGCGAACGGGGGCTGCGGACGTGTTTCGTCAAGCGAATATCTCCGGCGAACGAGAGCCACCGCTGGGCGTGGAAACTAAAGCCTGATCATGTCGCGGATGTACATTTTCTACGGGATCGTATTCAGAGAACGACGCAGCCCGAGAGATGTGGGGTGTGGAGAACGAGCTGGTGCAGCGAAAAGGGGTGTGAGGGTGTATAACGCGACAATTGCCGGATACGACGATTCGCGCGAATCGCGCGCACAAGGACTTAGCTAGCCCGTGTATATGCGCGAATCCTCACCGTGAGGCCGAGTGGAACAGAGCGGATCCGGGAGGATGAGGATCGGCAAGATACGCGCGCGAGAACAGGACAGAGGTAGGAGGACGAGCGAGAGGGAAAGA